CCCCATTTTCATGGAATTAAAATCCCATGTCCCCCCCTGGGATTTTAATTCCTGGGAAAAAAAAATAGTGATGAGTCAAAATTACCCCTTCCTTTTTTAACTTAAAATTAATGTCTAACAACAATAATGGACATTTTTGACTTTATACTACTTATTCCCTTTCAATTCCCATGTATACCAAACATTAGAATTGAAATTTCCAGTAATTATATTCCTGTCAACCAAACACTGGAATTTAAATTCTCACTTTAATCTCAGTAATTCAACTCCTATGGAATTACAATTCCTTTCGCACATAATTCCCCCCTTCCAACCAAACGCCCTGTTAATTTAACAATAAATACAAATCTACTCCAATCCTGCAAGTCTACTCCTTACTCGAACCTTAGCCCGAGCATTTGCTCCTCCAAACCTTAGCTCAAACTCAAACCTTAGCCCCTTTCCACATTTGACTTTATTCTTTACATTATGGTGGTGGAAAGGCTAAAAGGAGGTTCATGACTATACTTTGGATGAGTATATTGGTTTATGGTTTTAAGAGATTTGAGAGAGATGGTGCATGTACATATACATGTGTTGGGGGAACGATGTTGGATATGGAAGCGTTAATGGGTTTATGTCGTTATGTAGTAGGGTGACGACAAAGTTGGTGCTTAATATATTATGGTTTGTAGGTGTTGAATGGTATTATGGCTAAGGTGGCGATGACATCAATACATGTGATGTTTTGACAATAATATAATGTTGGTTTTTCTGTTGGGGATTGTAGATAATGACGATGCGGATGGGAATGCAGCAGTACATATTTGACTTGCAACTAGGGTTTTTAATGTTATTCGAGTTGTTTACATTTTAAAGTGTTTAACTTGAGTAGATTTCTATAATATATATTTAGGGATGACAACTGACGGGGCGGGGGCGAGAAGTATACTCTCTGCACCCGTTTGAAACCCCGATCCCATCTCCATCCCCATCGGAGAATTGAAAATAGTCTTCGTTCTTGTGGAAAATTAGGTAGGGACGGTGATTTCCCGTCTCTCGTTAACTCTTAATCAAAATCTTAAATTATTATAATTTTTAATTTTAAAAATTAAAGTTTTATTTTATATATATATATATATATATATATATATATATATATATATATATATATATATATATTTATTGATACTGCTAATTACTACGTAAACAGTAACTAACCAAACTCGAGACCAAATAAAGCAAGTAAATATCTTTATTGATCACGGTGAAGGACCTAAGTACAATCTACTTGGTTGCTCTGAGTACCGACTGACTGCGGTCGGGATTCTCTAACAACAACCTATCGATCGTCCAAAAGTCCCTCACACTGTAGCTACTGTGGGTATTTATAGCCGCTGCGCCGGAGACACAAATCCGGTCGTGCGGCATGCTCTCCACGTAGCCACCACATGTCATCCTCCCGGGTGCCCTGTCTGTCGTCGCAAGGAGCCGCCACGTGTCCTTTGTCAGCTCTCTCGCCAAAGGGCTACCGTTCGGTGGTCGACACTGCCGCTCGGGCGACTCCCGGTCGGACCCCGACCGGGTTCTTCACAAGAAGCCCGACCTGTTACCTGCAAAGACAAGAAGAAAAGACAAAGGCAGACCAGTCGGGGTAAATTTATGTCGGTCGGGATATTCCCTACCAAGAGCCCCCCAGTCCGGGCCTTTTTAACCGTCCGGGAAAAACGGGACGGGATGAAGAAGCCCAACCGCCAGCTGTCATTCCTCTTCTCGCCACGTGTCGGCGACTGCCGGCATCTACGACTGCAACGGTCGCCTCGGAATCAGTGCGGGTCACATCGCGCAAGTGGATTGGTTTCCCGCCCAAATGCTCTCCTATAAATAGGCCCTTGAGGCCTTCATTTGAACTTTCCTCAATCTTCTGATCCAATCGGCACCCTCAGAGAGTCCCGAGCGAGCTATTCAGCAGATCAACCGAGCAACTCACCTGCAAACTTCAGCCAAGTTCCCCTGATTGGTAAGCTCTTTACTCCTTAGCTTTTGCTTTATTTTTAGCTTTGCATAGGAGTAGGGTAGGACTAACTCCGATCTAACTTCCCGAGCCCTGTACTAACCCCGACCGACCTTTAGGTAGAAAAAATGTCGGACTCGGATAGCCAGAATGTCTCGGTCGCAGACTACGACAACACGGTCGAGCAAAGCAGCGAGGAGGTGGACATCATGTCCTATTCTCCGGAGGTCGAGCAACGACCACAACAAATCCCCGACCGAGCCCCCGAGCCAGAAGGGTCATCAAGCTCTTCGGGGACATCGGGGTCGAGTTCCAGCGGGTCGGGGAGCGACGAAACGTCCACGAGCGGACGAAACTCCCCGGCTGAAGATGCCAGGGGAACGCCTACGAGGGTAAGAGGGGATTACCCTCAGGCCGAGCCCCAAGAGGGCAACCGGGCAGAGGACGGGGAGGCAGCCGAGGAAAACCCGGCCGGGCCAGCAGCGCCAGGCGGGGACGGGTTCGAGTTCCTCAACAGCGAGAGCGTCGCGACCCAGATGAGCTTGCTGACAAAAGGAGAAGCAAGCAGAATCGCTGCAACTCTTGCCGGTCGGGTCGAGTTTGATACAAGCCGGCAACTCGGGAACATTATCGAGCTGCACCGGGGAAAGTGGCTCGGGATGCACTACGACTCCCTCATGGCCCTGATCACTTTCCCTTTCTCGAGCCTCCTCACCGCATTCCTGGGCTACTACCAGGTGGTGCCCGGGCAGATCTGCCCGAACGCGCACCGGATGATTGCATGTTTCCCGCAGATCTGCGGTCGACACCGGCTGGCCTGCACCATGGAACTCTTCAACTTCATCTACCAGGTGAAGGTGCTAGCGGCCACGTACGGGGGCGGGTACCTGATGACCCAATCCCGGGCGGACATGTGCTCGATTGAAGGTCTGCCCGGGAACAACCGTGGATGGAAGAATCGGTTGTTTTCTGTGAAGTACGACCCGTGGATTCTCCCGATCGAGAGGGTCTGGAGTCAACATTTCAGGAGACAAGTTGTACCGGCCGAGACTCAGGTCCCCACGGACGGCGCCATTTGATAGTACTAATTCACCCGGATGTCGGTTATATGTACTAAATATATAAAATATTTGTAAACAAAGAATGAATCAAGAAGAAACAAGAAATAGTTAAACCCTCCTTTTATTAATGTTCTGCTATTTTCTAGCTATAGAGAGAAAAAAGAGGATATGTAGAGAGGGAGAGAGAGCCCAAAGAGAGGACCCAAAGATGGCAAAAATGGCCTCCCTCACTTAGAGGGCTAGAAGCCCTTTTATAGGGCCACCGAGGTGGCGGGTTTGACCCATCTCGGGTTTGACCCGTCACCTTTAATCCCAACCCGTAGGTCAAGACCCGAACCGCGAGACCCCGACCCGACTGTAAGCGGTGGCACGGACCCAGGGTATATAACTTATCAGTGGCAATTCTAAATTTAGTCACACACTATCGTTTTTGCCATTTAAAATCCTAGACTATTATTTTTTGGACACTTTTAGTCATTCTCATGACTTTTCTTATTTAAGTAATGACATTTTTGTCTTTTCATATTTTTCTTTTGTTATTTTTTCGATTTCAGCCGGTTTAATTGGATTTGAAATTTAGATAACCTATGATTTTTTGTAACTATATTTTTCAACCGGTTTTTAGTAAAGTCTTAAACCAATTAAACTGGTTGAAACAAAAGAAAAATATGAAGAAACAAAAATTTCCTTACTAAAAATAGAAAAAGTCATGAGGACTAAAAGTGTCCAAAAAATAGTCTGGGATGTTAAATGACAAAAATAATAGTCTGTGAGTAAATTTAAAATTGCTACCAAAGATAAAGGACCTCTAGTGGAATTAACTCTTTTGAAAATGATAATATTTAAACCCGAACAACTCAAAATATGAAATTTGTAAAAGATTTTTTCAACTTTCTATTTCAATTCATCTTGTATGAGAGAGAAATGTGCTCAAATTATTAAAATATGTCAAGGTAGTCCAATTAAATTTAATAAAAATCACTTTTTAATGTTCACTCATTCAATGTTCTCAAAAAAAAAATGTTGACTCATACAAATGATTTATTGTTTTGAGTTTAATTATCAAGCAAATTAAAAGGGATAAGTCCGACCAATTCACAACCAATTTTTCGTATACTCTTCGTTTTCATTACTGTTAAAGGCATTGAGATGATTCATAGTCAAAGTCAAAAGTTACTACATACACGCTTTCTACGTCATAAATATAACTAGGAATAGGGATGGATAAAAAGCCAGTCAACAAATACACAAAAAATGTATGAATCACCTCATTTTAAATTGCAATTTAGGAATATTTAAATTGCAATTAAGCACATAAATATGTCAATTAATGCATTAAAGCTCAAAAATCTGTTAGTGACCTATTACATGTCACAAGGGTTTCGATTAGGGGTGTAAACGAGCCGAACCGAGCTCGTTAATGGAAGCTCGGCTCGAGTTCGAGCTCGATCGAGCTCAAGAATTGATGCTCGAGCTCGAGCTTGGCAATTTTCGAGCTGCTCGAGCAGCTTGATTGTTCAAGTTCGAGTTTGATCTCGAACTTTTTAATTGTTATTTTTATATATTGTAATTATATTATATATTATAAATTATAAATATTATATATTATACGGCTCGTGACGAGCCACGAGCTTAAAATATCTAGGCTCGGCTCGAGTTCGATTATCAAACGAGCTGCTCGAGTTCGATTTTGACCGAGCTCGAGCCGAGCTTTGACCGAGCTGCTCACGAGTGGCTCGGCTCATTTACACCCCTAGTTCCGATGAGGCTGTCGATCCGATGAAAATTGGCAACCAATAGGTCACTGGAAAAGGCATTGCAGTTGGTCGTCTGTCTATAAAGTTCGGGTGTGTATTTGACGCTTTTTCTTTTTTATTTATTTATTTTTTAAAAAATCCTCTCAGAATTGCAATTTTGCAGCAATCACAACATAACACTTTCTACACTATAAATACTCCTATCAGCATCCCACAGATTCATCACAAACACCTTTCAAAATTGAAAATGGCGAATTTTGGTTCACTTTTGCTATGCTTGGCTCTTATTGCACTGTCCCTGGGGTTGATTTCAGCCCAAAACTGTGGCTGCGCTGAGGGGCTGTGTTGCAGCCAGTGGGGGTATTGCGGCACTGGGGATGACTACTGCGGTGAAGGGTGCAAGGAAGGGCCGTGCTACCATCCCCCTAGCCCCCCTAGCGGCGGCGGGTCCGTCGCCGACATTGTGTCGGATGCGTTTTTCAACGGAATCGCCGATCAGGCGGATTCCAGCTGCGAAGGGAAGGGCTTCTACACGCGAACCTCGTTTCTTGACGCCGTCAACTCCTACCCGCAGTTCGGAACGGTTGGGAGCGCCGATGACTCTAAGCGGGAAATTGCGGCGTTTTTCGCCCACGTTACTCATGAAACTGGACGTAAGTTTTTATTTTTTTTTTATTTTTATTTTTTTAATATTATTAACTCTATTACAATGTAGTATCTGTTCATACATACTTTCTCAATCTACTGAACCACAAAGAGTCCATACCAAGATTCGAAACTGGACGGAAGTTAATCCCCATCATTTAAATCAAAAATACAAACTTTGGTATATTAATAGAGTGACAGTTTTGGTTGCATACTTAATTCCTACCAATTTTGATGCACGTCTATTATTTTAGTGCCAAAATTTATTACGCATGTTATCCCTCTGTTTAAAACATGCATGAATATAAAATTATTAAGAGTATTTTCGTCATTTCATAATTAAGATCTCAATAAAGCCCTAAGATTCCAATTCGCCGTTCTCCTCCTCATCCTCCTTATTCATTTAAGAATGATGAAAAGGAGAATAATGAATTGAGATCCTAGAGCTTAAATCTCTTTATTTATGTTCGAATTGAGATTTTAATTATGTAAGAACGAAAATACCCTTAATAATTTTAGATTCAGGCATGAGGCATGTCTTCAATATAGGGATGACATGCTTAATAAATTTTGACAATATAATAATAGACGGACATTAAAATTGATTGGAATTAAGCACGTGGATCAAAACAATCATTTTGCGTGCGAAAAAATTTTGGTATTTGTTCTAATTTTAACATAAAAATTACCTTCTTCTAAGAACCTCGTACTACTCCGATCCCAACCCATGCAGATATGTGCTACATAAAGGAGATCGACGGCGAATCCAGAGACTACTGCGACAAGACCAACACACAGTATCCCTGCGCACCAGGAAAGATGTACTACGGCCGTGGACCCATCCAACTATCCTGGAATTTCAACTATGGACCGGCCGGCCAAAGCATCGGTTTCGACGGCTTAAACAACCCGGACGTCGTCGCCACAGACCCGATTATTTCCTTCAAAACTGCCCTGTGGTTTTGGATGAACAATTGCCATTCTCTCATCACCTCCGGTCAGGGTTTTGGCGCCACCATTCGTGCCATCAACGGCCAACTTGAGTGCGATGGGGCTAATCCGGACACTGTTAGGAAGAGGGTTGAGTATTACACACAGTATTGCCAACAACTTGGTGTCGATCCTGGGAATAACCTTGAATGCTAAGATATATAAAGCAATGTAATGGACAATAACTAACAGAATAATGTTTGATGGTACAAAAATATACCAAAAATATTTAGCTCTTTCAACCACTTTAATGCTTCCTAAATTTACTAGTGTTAACATTATTTAGTAAAGTTTTTGGTAAAATACTTTTTTTATCAGTCTAACAAAGCGCAAATAATAGTTATATAAGTGACTACAAGAAAAATGCACAAAAACAACAGTACACAAGGGCGGAGCTAGAAAGTACGTCTGGGTTGGGGACCATATATGATTGGGCCGATTATTATTCATAATTATTTTTAATTATATTATGTGCAATAATATATGAAATATATAATTATATGAGTAAGATCGTTAATGTTGTCAAATATTACTTTTGAATTTTTCACATAACACAAAATATATACAACAGTAAAAAAATAGGGAAAATTGCACTTCTTGTCCCTAATTAATTAAGTTATAGGACAATTGTAGAATTCATCTCTAATTATTAGTCGTGCTCACATATCGTCTTTAAAATATACTCCGTAAATGATGTTGCAAATTTCGTCCCTTTACTAACAAAACATTTGAGACAAAATTTGCAACATTATATAACTCAGAGACTAAGAGTGAGCACAACCTGTTATTAAAAGGACGAAATTTGCAACGTTAATTATAGCTTAGGAATGAAAAGTTAGCACGACCAACAATTAGATATGAATTCTACAATTACCACATAACTTAGGGACGAAATGTGTAATTTTCTTAAAAAATTAGGAGGAAAGACTAAAAATATAATTTATCAATATTATAATAATATATACATATATATATATATATTAAAAATGAGGGGTGGGGTAGGGGGCCAGGGCCCCAACCCAAGGGTGGCTCCGCCCCTGTGTGAGGCATTGGGTAGGAAACACCTGCAAATTGATTTTTTCAATGTATTTCGCCATTGCTTAAATTCACGCTGATGTCAAAGAAACATTGGACTGGAATTTCTTGGAAGTTATTTTTTTCAAAATGCTTCTGCCATCGTTGAACCTTCATTGTCGGCCACCATTGTCCGAGAAGAAAGCCATCGCCGTAGGATGTTGGTAAGTTCAAATAAGAGGGGAGGAACTCACTAAGGGGGCAAATTATGTTGTGCATCCGTATGCATTATGTATCGATTCCCAGCAATAACATATGAACTAAAATTTCAGAATCGATGAACTATAATTCCAGAATCGAAGAACTATAATTCCAAAATCTATGAACTAAAATTTCAGAATCTAATCTATGAACTAAAAATTCCAGAATGAATGAACTAAAATTCCAGAATCTATGAACTAAAATTTCAGAATCAATGAACTACAATTCCAGAATCGATGAACTATAATTCCATAATTAATGAACTAAAATTCCATAATTTATGAACTAAAATTCCAAAATGAATGAACAACATAATGTTGTTGCTGGGAATCGAACCCGAATTTTTTTTTGTAAGGGGAGACGCGTGTTTTTAATAAAACGACGTCGTTTTTGCATCCATATGCACCATGCATGTGCACAACATAACTATTCCAGTAAGGGGGAATAGTAGTTATGGAAAATTTTGGAATGCTTTTGTCATGTTTCTGATGGACGCATATGGTATGTTATGGACTACTCTCTCTTATGAACAAATAGTATGGTAAATCTCTATCTTTATGAATAATAAATTTCTATGAATTGGTTATGGTTTACTGCTTATGGTGTGTTTGGCTCATATCCTCTCCAAATGAAGTTTCTATTAAGAATATATTATCCGTGTATTTTTGTGATATTCTGTACAATCTCTAATGGTCATTCGGTATATTATTCGTGTATTTTTGTGTGATCAGTTAAAATTTTCATTTTGTAGGTTCTAAGATTTCCCATTAACTGAGTAACCGTTTTGTTCTCCCAGCTGTCAAGAAAAGGCAGACTAACATTAATTAAATTAATGAAAAGTGAGCACTTGTGAGCTTTTAGATGTGTACGCGTGCGAGTTTTTCAATAAGCGTAGTTGTTGTTGACTAGCTGGGGAAGAACCTTAACACCATCCATTCTGTAACACTCAACAACCCGTGAGATTGAACAAATTAACAGAATAAAGAAAATCAATAAGAGCCGCTAAAAGCTTGAATTCAAGAGGCACGGAATAGCCAGATCGACAGACTAATAAATTAAGTCTGCAAGCTCTGATACCAATTGAAATTGCACCGTGAATCTTGAATGCAAGATATAACTTAGAATTCTGCTTGATTTTATGTTATGCGACAATCTCGTTCATTAATTAGATTATTTAATCAAATGTAAATAACAGAATTGAAAGCATAAAATAAAAAAAGAACACAAGAGAATTGTTACGCAGTTCGGAGCGCTTCTCCTACGTCTGCAGGGCAACCCACTTCTGCCCAATCCACTATAGATGTTTACCAAGGAGTTATACAATGGTAGGTACAAATGGCTATCAGCATTTACTACCCCAACGCTTCCTAACACCTACTCAGGACTGAACCGTGCATGCCATAACAATCTTCAAGCGAAGCTTCAGCTGTTCCAGGTACTGACAGTGCAGCTTAGATTTTAATCCCACACGAATTGATATTCAAGAATCAATTTAATAAAATAGCTTTGTAATGCAGATTCCTTTCTCTCAATATAGAATGCCCAAAATCCGTAGCTTTCAAAAAAGGAATGACTTCCTTTTATAGCAAAGATTATTCCATTACTTGATCCACATAATTAGCATTCCAAAGTATTCAAATAACCATAGCCACATATTTAATTTGAAAGCTTCATTTCATGCGTAATGCGGACTACTTTTAATTAATATTAGAAGATATGTAATGGTCCAAAGAGTTTTAATCTAACTAAAATCTAATTAAATTAAAACTAAATAAATTAGCCAACAAAGGTTTTAATGTGTACGAAATTTGTACACTTACATACCCCTTTCTGTTTGATATATACATACTACTTGTAATCGATACTTTGAATTTAATATATACAATTCAAGTTTTCGTGTTTACATCCATATAACTATTTTGTGGTATGAAATCCATGAATAATATACCACATACTATGGCATCAATAATAGTTTCTAGAAGCTCACTTCAGGTTGTACATATAAGGCTATAAAGTAATTTATTTATGAGATGTGAGATAAATCTTAACATATATGACATATAGCAAATAATTGTTACCAACAAGAGCAAATCAATAAATGTTCTTTTATAACGATTCACATCTCCATAAAACATAAGGGAGTAATTTGTGACATAATAACAATTGTCGCATGACAATTAGTGCACTCACCATGCAATGTATATGGTCGTCACATCAAGAAAGTCTATCACAAAATTATATGTTTTAATCAAGCTCTCAAAATCTTAGCATCAAATGAATGCAAATACATATGACATATCTCCCTCTTAAACAACCAAAGTAAAAATCATCCACAAAGATACTCACACATCTAGGCACAATTATATATGCAATATAATAAAGACAATTTTCATGAAGACATGACTAATTGCACAGAATAATAAATATATGCATGTGTAAATATTTTCTTTGAAAAATGAAAATATACTTAGCTCTAGATTTAATCGCAAGGCAAGTAGATTGCACTTCAAGTATTGTGAGAACACCTGATGCCTCAACATTTGCTGAAGAGGGAAAGAGAAGTTGATGAGGTCCAAAGATCCATAATGCGTCTCAACATGTTCTCCCTACCTCCGTGTCACCGTTAAAACTTTAGAATAGTGCACTTCCAGGACCTATGAATTGAAATTGACAGGGAGTGTTGATAACTTGTTGTGAAAACTGGATGTATCCTCACATGAATTGTTATTTCATCAGGTTTGCAGGAATATAGTAATGTAAAGAGGAGACTAGATATAGAGTTATAATATAATTACAATACTACAAAGGATGAAAATATATTATCTATAATACCTATAGCAAGGTCCACATATTTATTCACAACAACAATAATAAATAATTAATTAAAATGTGGAACTTGATACAATTTTAACTTCAATTCATTTGATATATGAGCTTCCTCTTCCAATTAAGCCGGAGAAAGTGACGACTGAAATACCAAGTTAGCTCTTAACTGTTACTGCATCTGGTAAGGATAGCTTGTCTCACACCCACTATTAGGGGTGCAAACTTGGCTAAAATAATTGGGTTCGGTTCATGGTTAAAGGTATTATAAAATTTTGATTAACGGTTAATTCGATTAGAAAATATCAGTTAACTGAATTAACGGATCGGATCGGTTAACCGAAATTATATATATATATATATATATATATATATATATATATTTATTATTTGGTTAACTATACTATTATTTATACTTGTATTTTTAAAATTTGTGATTTTTATATTTTTAGTGTTGTTAGGTTGTTATCGTATTGTTTTTGTATATTTCTTATTTTAGATTTATTATTATAGGTATTGAAGTAATTGTTAATTTTAATTTTTATTTATAATTTTAAGGATTTAAAAATGTAGCTAAAAAATTTTTGTTAACCGACCAATTAATTGGGGAAAAAAAATTTTGTTTTGTTTACTTATATATACATATAGTAAACGTTGGGGCTTGATTTGCACCACCCTTATGCACAAGAGAGAACCTTTATGCTATACAATTCAATAAGTCTTAAAAGAGCTCTTGTATAAATAGTGGTGCAAATCCATTTCCCAAACCAATGTGGGACAAAAGCTTCACTTTTTCCTTTCATTTCCCAACTCCAATGGGTCTACTTTGAGAATCAATATCCCTTCCACCCATTATCTGTTTTGAGCGTACAATATATCAATCTCTTCGTCTCATTATAAAGAACCCGAATTCACTTTGACCCGAACCAAATCGGAAGTGAACCTCACTGATAATTGTACCACAAAATAGCTACTTAAAATGTCATTTTAATGCTATTTTTCCAACAGTGTCAACTAGCGTATTACGTTTAATAACATTATCCTATACCATGTTCATAATATTTGTTTTATATGGTCATAAACCTAAATCTTAATGTATATAAACACTAAATTATATATATAATTTATTCTATAGTAGGTCCATAATGTAGTTGTTATATGTTCATAAAAACAAAAGCTTAATGTATGTAAACATTTCACTACAAACGCATGCATCATGTATAATTTGATTGCTATTAGCTCATAGCACTCCTCGGTGAAATGGATTATAGAATTGGAACCACAAATAGTATAATGTGAATGGAGTAAGATAGAGAGAAAATAGACAGAGGTAAAAACTTCAATATATTATTCCACCCTCTGCAATTCAGTACAATGAGCAAAATATATAATTACATTTGAAACGGAAATCAATAATGATAGACATAACTGTGACTTTTACAACTGTTATAATAATATTTATAATACTCTCACTTGGATATTATATTAGCATAATCATGCATCGTTAAAAACTCGCTAGAAACACTCTGTGAGAAAAACATAGTCGAGAAAAGAGTAGGCGATATATATATGGATAATGTATGTGTTATTTCAGTTGTCTCATTAAAAACCTTAACTTAAGAAAATCGTGTGGGAAAAAACTTAATTAAGGGAAAAAAGTACAACCACTACAAGAAATTTCACATTTAGTGATAATAGAAGTTGATAAGCTTAATTTCTAGGCTTTATTTAGAGTAATTTTAGTTAGTGATTTTCATAAATAAATTAAGTTTTAGGGTCGATTTTATAATAAATATTATATTTAGTTATATGTTACTAGTTTAGACTAGTTTAGATGGGTTTTAATAAATATTAGGCTAATTTTACATTTTTATATTAATATAAATAAGAGTTTTATTTTTAACTATAGAATTAAATTTATTTACTAGTTTTATTTCTTCAACTTAAGTGCTTTAATAATTTGGTTTTATTAAATTGTGTTATTTCAGACTCACAGAGTGCGTTCCTTCCGGGTAGGTTGATCTCGGACAATATTCTGATTGCTTCCGAGGTTGGTCATTACTTGAGGAGGAAGTAACTAGGCCAGGTGGGGTGGGCTGCACTTAAACTTGATATGGCAAAGGCATACGATAGGATGGAATGGTCCTTTGTGAGTGATATGCTTGTGGGTCTGGGCTTTGATGCTAAATGGATACAGTTGATTATGTTGTGTATCCAGACGGTACGTTACAAGGTATTGGTTAATGGTAGACCTACGGAGGAGATCGTGCCTACTAGGGGGTTACGGCAAGGGGATCCCTTGTCGCCTTATCTCTTCATAATCTGTGCGGAGGGGCTATCTTTGCTTTTGCAGGACTCACAGTCAAAATGGCTTATTCATGGTTGTAGAGTGGCCCGGGGGGCACCACCGATCTCGCACTTGTTTTTTGCTGACGATAGCTTGCTTTTCTTTAAAGCTAACCTGCAGGAAGCTATGGAAGTAAAAAGATGCCTGGGGGTTTATGAGTCCTACTCTGGCCAAGCGGTGAATTTTCACAAATCCAACATTTCGTTCAGCCGAAATACACACACTGAAATGCAGGATCTTGTGTCAGGGGTTTTGATTGTTTCCCAGGCGGAGAATTTTGGGAAGTACCTGGGATTGCCTTCTGTTGTTGGCAGGAATAGGAGGGCGGTTTTTGCTTACATTGAGCAAAAGTTGAAACAGAGATTCAGCTCTTGGAATAAGAGGTTGCTGACTAAGGCGGGTAAGGAGGTTCTTTTGAAAAGTGTGGCACAGGCCATGCCAACTTATACTATGAGTATTTATCTGCTGCCGATTACTTTATGTGCTTCTTTGGAGAGGTTAATGAACAGGTATTGGTGGGGGAATGGGGGCAATGCTGGTAATATCCATTAGTTGGCCTGGGATAGGATGTGCAGTCCAAAGAAGTTTGGTGGTATGGGATTTAAACGTTTGCATGAATTTAATCTTGCCCTGTTAGCTAAACAGGGTTGGCGGCTTCTTACTAATCCCACATCTTTAATGACACGTGTTTTTAAGGCTAGGCACTTCCCAACTTCATCCTTTTATGAGGCTGTTATCGGGGGTAACCCAAGTTACGTCTGGAAAAGTATTATGGCTGGCCAAGATTTGTTAAAATCTGGTTGCAGGCGCAGAATTGGAGATGGCACGGCTACAAGGGTTTGGACTGTTCCGTGGCTTCCGGATCGACACAATCCATATGTCGAGTCTGATCAAGCTATGAACGGTCACTCAATGCTAGTTTCAGAGTTGATAGATGCTCATACGGGGACCTGGAATCTGGATCTTTTGCAACAAAATTTTAATGCCCGGGATACACAATTAATTTTGAGAGTGCCTGTGAGTACAGATTTCGAAGATTGGGAAGGAGATATAAGGGGATGCTATTCGGTTAAAGATGGATATAGGAGGTTGGGGTTCTTGAATACGGACCCATCGCCAGTATGGAATAATATTTGGAAGCTGCAGGTTCCTCCCAAATGGAAAGTATTCCTATGGAGAGCTCTTTTGAATATATTGCCCACACTTGATAACTTGATTGTTAGGAGAGTTGAGGTTAATAATATATGTCCGTGTTGTGGTTTGTTTGAGGAGTGTGTCATGCATATTTTTTGTACGTGTCCATTTGCAATTAATGTTTGACATCTATCTCAGTTACAAATTCCCCCGTGTGCCAACAGGAATTTTTATCAATGGACGGAGGAGTGGCTTGGTAGTGCGCCCGGATATACTAAGGAGGTACAAGGCAGAATGTGTGGTGTACTTCATGCCATATGGACTGCTAGGAACACGGCAGTCTGGGACTCGGTGGTGCCACGCCCGGCTTCGCTCCTGATGCGCCTTGCGGTACAGTGGACGGTGTGGATGAGTAGTCAGCAGCCCCATGTGATTTATAACAGCAGCAGAAACGTAGCTTTGCATGCGCAACATAGTACTACACCGGCCTCTTTTAAGTGTTATGTTGATGCGGGCTTTCATGGTCCCCTCCACGCAGCGGCATATGGTTTTGTGGTTTTTGATAGTGATTCGTCGTTTGTGGCAGCAGGTAATGGCCCCTTGCCATGTCCGTATGATCCCCTCTTGGCGGAAGCGATGGCAATGTGCGAAGCCCTCTCTTGGTTGAAGAATAATGGGTACTCAGGCGGCTACATCTATTCTGACTCAGCAGTTTTAGTTACGAGTCTTTCATTTGCTAGTTCGTTTCGTAATTATTTTCGTTTCATTCTGTTATCTTGTACTCGACTACTTAGTGAGTTACCAGGTTCCCAGGTTAAATTTGTTAGAAGGGAGGCCAATCATGTGGCACACTTCTTATCTAAGCATGTATCTGCTATAGCAGGCAGAACTCTATGAAGGGATATTCCACCACCTTTTATTGAGCCCTTGGTGGCTAATGCAATCTGATTCATTTGGTTTTTAAAAAAAAAAAAAAAGGTTATATAGTTATTATTAATTTAATTTAATTTAATTTTTTTTTCCCTTAGTCAGGCTTGCACGGCAGTAAGAAAGGAGGGGAAAAATAACCCTTCTTAAATTGTTTTTCATCTTTGGGTTAGGCGAAAAACGGAAACAAGAGAAAAAGAAAGAGAATTAAAAAAGGTTTTATTTTTGTTGCTTTTGGATAGGTTCGGCAGAGACGTAAGAGACGACAGAACATAGAGAAAAAAAACAAGCCTAACAGAGGGAACGGCGGAGAGAATAGTAGGAAGGTCTGGGTGCGCGACAGCGATTTCTTCAAGGAATTTTCGAGCTTCAATTGCAGCTATCATCTCTTAGGCTTGAACTATTTTTCTTCTTTACTTCTTGTTTAAATTTTCAGAATATTATTTTTTGAACTTTCCATACATTTAATTATGATTCTTGACTAGAACTTTAATTAGGGATTTGGATTAGCCTTGGTTAGATTAATTGACTATTTTTCATGTGTTGATTCTTCCAATTTCAATTTAATAATTGAACTTGATTATATTTATTTTATGTATTTTGATTGTGGATTGTGTACCTGGCCATTGCATAATTCTAATATTAGGGTTCATAAGAAGAACTGACAGGTGAATTATGAACCTAGAACTCGTAAGATAAACACAATTGACCTAAACTAGACATAGCTTTAGGTATTTGTGGTGATATTTGATTGTTGCTTAATGGGTTTAATTAATGTTGGTGAGATATCGACGGATGATCACAGTTAATTGGATACAACCTAGTAGCTCGACGGAGTATTAGGATATATTTGAAGCAATCATCACTATAGTCATAAGAATTAATACTTAGGAGAGTTAGTTAATTATCTAATAGGTGAACCCAAATCCCTAGTCTTCTCTCATTTGGAATTTTCTTTTCATTAAGTTAATAAATATTATTTTTAATCACATTAATTATATTTATTTGAGATTTTTCTTATCAACAATTTGATTATTAAAGATAACAGTTAATAGTGTTCTTCGTGGGATCGACCCTGGAATACTCCAGGAATTTATACTGTGATTGACTCTGTGCGCTTGCAGATTATAGCAATCAAGTTTTCAAACTTCCCCACACTCAAGGTTTTGCTTGTCCCCAAGCAAACTTATGCAATGAAGTCAAACTACCAACCATAACCATGTCAACTAGGCATTCAATTCAAGAGAGCTGGTGAACACATAATACTTCATGAGAGTTCAAAGTCATATGCACACAAGACAATAGAGAATAGTAGTCCTCACGGTTGTTCACTCAATCGCTCATAAATATATGTATAAGAAAGGTACACACCATCCTCTATTGAGAGTGCATTTGCCATAGGCTTGCTTGTCAACCAAAACTCCACTACCAAAATTATATGAAGAACACAAGTCAAAAGGTCTTTATTTATGGGTTGTAATGGGGCCAAGGGCATGTGGTTTAACAAAGAAAGGATATAGGGAAATAGAAATAAAGTCCAAGTAATCAGTAGAGCCATAATTTCACCATATCAAGAGCAAGAACTCGTATTCTACCCATACAATGAACTCTATTAAAACAAGCTATCATTTCTTCATTCCCCCTCATCCTTTTCACTGATAAACAACTTTCAAAACCTCCATCTCTTTTTCATCATCTTTTTTTTTTTTTTTTTTTCATTTTTCCTGTTTTTTTTTCATTTGTTTTCTCCTTTTTTTTTTCTCTTTTTTTTTTCTCTTTTTTTCCTCTTGTTTTTTTCTGGTAAAACCGAATAAATACCTCATCATTTCCACATCACCCTCAATAGTATTCTTCCCATAATCTTCAAATTTCTATCATGCCTTCATTGCTCACAAATCTTTTTAAGAATAAAATGAGCACAAAAGTTAGGGCTAACAAGATTTTTCAACCCACAAATTAGAACATATCTCATTTTGTTCTTTTTTTTTCCCTTCATTTTCACCCCCTTTGATCACAAACAGTTCTTCACCCAAAGTAACCAGGTTATACAATCACCTTTCAACTCCAACCTCACACATACTTCATCACTTTTGGTCATCTTGCACAGATAATGAAATAATGACATCCACTGACCCATGGACGAGTTAAGAGGCTTCTTTTTATGAGCTAAGGTTCTTTGGGACTGGCTAATGAAGAAAAATGTCTTATATTTATTTTAAAGCTCAAAGCGGTTCACTAGGGGAAAAATAACATATATAAGGATGTTGTCATTTTTAAGGCCATAAGGCTAAATCCTAATGCCTAAATTATTCTCGTGTCATCATATAACATGTAGCTCTGAAATGGTATGAAGCAAGTTCTAGAAGTAACACAATCAAAGAGGCAAACAAGCACTCAAAATGAAAAATAAGTTGCAGTGGGCAACCTATAGGCTCAAAAGCTCACGGTGTGACAGAATTTGACTACCAACTCTATGCAAGCATACATATAGCCAAACACATTCATTGACATTATGCACTCCCAAAACTCTAGAACGTATCTCCCAATCAACATAGTCATTAGAAGGCATTTTTTTAACTGTAGCAAAATGCAGAAAATTAGTGCATAAAATGTAGAATGAAAAATGCAGAATTTTACTCTAGCAAAATGCAGAAAATAGAGAAAATGCAGAAAATGTTGCAGAAAATTGCAGGAAAAATGCAGAATTTTTTTTTTTTTATATTTTGCCTATTTTGCATAAAACTTGCAGAAAACATCCCCTAATCTTACTTTCCCTTCCCCACACTCAAACTCAACATTGTCCTCAATGTTAAATATAAAAGCAAGTATGAGAAAATGAAATAAACAGGAAACTTTCCTGTTAGTTGCCAGTTTCTTCCGGGGTTGCCTTTTGGTGAAGCAACCATGAATGGTCTCTTTTTCTCTCTGTCAATCTCTATGGCCTCATACGAACAAACTTTAGTGACCATGAAAGGACCAAACCATCTAGACTTCAATTTCTCTAGAAAAAAGCTTAAGACAAGAATTAAACAACAAAACTTCTTGCCCTACATTGAATTCTCTCCAAAAATTATTTTTGTCATGCCAAGTTTTAGTCAATGTTCTCCACAATCTCTCTTCTTTTGCATGAAGTAAATGAGCATAAGAAAACCTAAGAAAAGTATCATTGTTACTCAAAAATTCATATTTGAACTGCAATGAATGTGGTTTAAGTTCAAGTTGATGTGGTGTTTCACTAGGTGAATGCTTAAAAAATTCTTCTTCTGAAGGTTTCTCAATAACATCAACAAAAAGACATGATTCATCAAAAGTTGGTAATTTTACAGCCTTAGAGATAGAGAATTCCTCTTTTTCTGTACCTACTCTAAAAATCAATTTCCCTAAAGGCATATCAATTAATACTCCTCCTGTCAACAAAAATGGCTTACCAAGTATAAGAGATGTATCTGTATCACTACCCATATCAAGAATCAGAAAATCAGCAGGAAAATAAAATTTACCAACTTTTACCAATATATCCTCCACTACTCCAAGCGGGTACTTGACTGATCTATCAGCAAGTTAAAGAGAGATTGTTGTTGGCTTCATTTCAGCTATTTCCAACTTCTTAAAAAGAGTTAAAGGCATAAGGTTAATACTAGCACCTAGATCACATAAGCATTTATCAATAACAGTATTACCAATAGTGCAAGGAATAGAAAAACTTCCTGGATCCATTAGCCTAGGAGGTAATTTTCTTTGTAGAATAGAACTACACTCCTCATTTAGGTGCACAGTAGCAAACTCTTCCAATTTCTTTCTATTAGACACAATTTCCTTAATGTACTTGGCATAAGATGGCATATTAGCAAGTGCTTCTGCAAAGGAATATTAATTTGCAATTTTTTTAAAACCTCAAAAAATCTTTTAAAGTTATTGTCCTGGTTCCTCTTTTGCAACCTCTGTGGATATGGAATGGGGGGTACATAAGGTTTTACTGTAGAGGAAGTGAGGTTTTGATCACTAGAATTCTCTTTAGGCACTTGTTCCTCTTCTTTATCACTCTCTTTCTCAACCCTCGTGGGTTCATTTTCTTTCAAAACTTCATTCAATATCTTACCACTTCTCAACGTGACAGCCATAGCTCCTTCCCTAGGGTTTATTTCAGTGGTACTAGGAAACTTACCTCGATTTTTTTTCTGCAACCAATTTAGCCAACTGACCTACTTGCACCTCTAAATTATGAATGGATGCTTGGTTGGACTGAGCAACCTTATCAATCTTTGCATCCATTTTCTTCATCATTGTGTCCTGGCTAGCCATGTATTGCATGAACATCTCTTCCAATTGAGGCTTCTTCTCCTGAGCAGGAAGTTGAGACTGCTGTGGTGCAGGTGGCTGCTGGAAAGGTCTGTATTGCTGATGTTGGAATCCTGATGGTCCCTGTTGCTGGAATCCGAGTGGTCCCATTGGTTTTGCATTACCGTTACCTTGATCTCTCCATGAGAAGTTAGGGTGATTTCGCCAACCTGGATTATATGTATTAGAAAATGGATCATTTCTTGGTGGTTGCCTACCCATGTTGGATCCCATGTAATTAGCTTCCTCATAAGATGGTTGTGATGACTCTGCATTCATACAAATAGAAGAATTATGACCATATGCATTGCAATAAACACAAAATTCTCTATTTGAACTATCACGAGTCATCAACAAGTTCATCTGTTTAGTCAATTCAGCCATTTGTGTTGTCAACTCAGATTGTGTGCTAATTTCATGCACAACAGCTCTTCGACCTCTCACTGCCTTTTGTCGAGAATTAGTAGCTAAGTTCTCATAAATAGCTTCTAATTCATCACTGTTTTTATCACCTGTGTATCCACCTGCAACAGTATCTACAAGAGACTGACAATTAGGAGTTAAACCATCATAAAAGAATTGTGTCAACAATAACAATGGAAATTGATGGTGTGGACATTGTGTCAAAAGCA